CTTGAGTAATGATTACACTACCAACGTTGAAATCAATATCTAATATTCACTTCTCCTTTTATTTTCTTTATATTTTATCTAACTGTATACAGTGTAACAATAAGTTATAGAATAAATAATATTATAAAAAAAAAAAAAAGCAAATGAAAGGAATGGAGAGAAGTGGTTATTAAAAATTAATAGAGCGGGTCAATGAATTTGAAATGTATTTAACGATACTACTTATTGTATGTTCCTTCATCCCAACCCCCTCTGCCAACTCCTATCTTTCTTTCTTTCTTTCTTTCTTTCTTTCCAACAGACGCCTATGGTTTTCCTCTACGTCGATACTCTTTTATCTTCTACATCACGCATTCGAAAGGATATTATATGAACGTTGGGAGCCTATCAATCAAGCTGTCCAAGGACACCCATTTTAATTTGAAAATATCCTGAATCTTTACTAGTTTTGATACCCTATAAGGGTTTCTAAATTATGTATAATATATATCTATATATATATATATATAAATTGTAGGATTAAAATTTTTCTCTCTCTCTCTCTTTCTCTCTTTCTTTCTTTCTTCTTTTTTGTACATTTATTTTTCATGCGTTTCATTCTACGAAATAAATATAGTACCGTCTGCTCGTGGAGGTCACGTTTAACTCGTATCGACCCCTTCTGGAAATTACTCGTCTAGGGACTAGACAGTCCTTATGCACGCGATTAGTCAGTCGATAAAAAGTCCTATATCTCCCTCTCTTTCTTCCTTAGACACACGCACAAGCACACGCACACCCAAACACACATATTATGCTTCGTCATCTTTGTATATCCCAACAAAATTTTATATAATAAAATATCCTGATCTATACGCAAATGAATCATCCAATTGAATTTAACATTTTACTACAAAATATTCCTTTAGGATAAACTATTAGTTATATTATTAAAGTGTAATTTTCATATCATCGTCTAAATATATCACAAAACTGTTTAGAAATATTTGAAAATATTTTTATACAATATTTAATCGCGTTAGAAAATGTATTTAGTTCTTTTCTTTTTTGTGTTCACGTATAACAGTTGGTCGACGATATTAATGATTAGAATAAATGAATAGTTAGAAAACACATAAAAAAAAAAGAAAAGAAAATGATGTGGTCGTTAAACCTTTGGTGTCGACAAGAACGACCATGGGCCAATGACCAGTCGTTTCCCGACAGATAAAAGTACGTTAGGCTAAAAGATAAATTCACACTAGGTTCATCCTGCCAAAGATGAGTGGGTGCTACCGGAAGTTGAGGACCGGAGGCAACAGTGGCGCCATCGTGTCATTTCTTTACATTGTGTCTTTCACTTTTTCTTTTTATATTTTCTTCCCTTTTCCTCTTTGAAATTTTTTTCCCAGATATTCTGCCAACGAATTCTCGGGATTTTATTTTATTTTTAAAACGAAAGAACGAGCTTACTTTTTTAACAGAGAAAAGAACAAAAAAGAAACGCTATATTAAAATAATAAAATTTAAAAACATAGAAAATATAAATGGGATCTACTTTTTACAAGATAAAAGAAAGAATTTCATTTATTTCGAGGACAAATTGCTAACAATCCTGCTATTTGCCCAACTATGTCTAACTATAACTAACATTTTATCAAGCTTGGTATAAATGGGTCTTTATGTGTGTATGAGAATCTAATATATTACATATATGTATGAGTCATTCATTCAAACAATTAGATTATAACTCTGTCTAGATTATAAAAGAATTTTTAATTATAATATGTTTCTAGAAACAATGGACGTAAATTTATTATAAATCAATTTGATCCTCCATATCTGTTTCAACAACTTTTTTAACTCTGTCAGTATATTAATAATTACGTACAATTTTTTTTTTATAGGAAGTTACAAACGTACGAAATATATATATATATATATATAATTATTCATTAATTATTAGTATTAAAAAAAGAATATATATATAAAAAAAAGGGAAGAGAGAATATTTAGATAAAGAACAATGATATAGAAGTATCAAAATGATTCATACTTGCAGTCGCGACGAAACACCGGAAGTTAGTGATTGTTTCGAAGTATGGTGACCTCTGGTAGCCTTGACTGCCGAGGGTCAATCGCCTTTTTACCAATTAATCCGATCTCACAGTCATCATTATTCAAGAAAGAAAAACAAAAGGCGAAACTAATCGAACGAGAACTATGATGAAGAAAAACAATTTAATGAAGCACCCATTAATTCATATCAAAATGAAAAATAAAATTAGGATCAATTTCAAATGAAAATCTAAAACTACTTTAAAACGCCACCTAGTTAAATCACGTGATGTAGTAATTATAAACGTTAAATTAGAAGATTTCCCAATGCAAACCCCCAATTCTAAATGTAAATCGAACGATACAAAAATATAAGCTAAACTTAAGATAATAAACAAATAAAACAATAATAAAAAATATTGTTATACCGTATATAATTGTCAGTTGGTAAATTTTTTATTAAACATTTCTTTTATTTTATAATTTCAACCATCGAAAAGATGGCATGAAACCTCAACAGTAGAAAAAAAGAATAAGTACTCTTAATTGCACATTTAAAATCTATAATTACATGATTTATCAATTAATTATTAAATTAGTTATAAATAATTAAAAATACAATAACGTTTTTTTCTATTTCTAAACAAAGCAGTGAAGTTTTCTACTGTTTTTTGTTTTCAATCAATTGCTGACTTTTTGTTTGTCCATTTTTCTCTGGTCTTTCTAGCTTCAATATGATATCGGTTCTTTTCTTAATCTAGTAAGTCTTTTCTCTGTAACTGTTCCAAGACAATCGTTCTTAACGATCAAACTCCTTTAATTAACAATTAAAACAAAATATCTATATTAGATTTTTAATTGTTGTTTGCTTTTAAATGTATATAGAATTTAATAAGACATTCGCTTTGTGTAAACTACTAGTTACTAAAAGTTACTAGGAAATAAGAAAGTTTCAAAAATATTGAAATTCTAGTAACATGGCTACGGCAAAATTGGTAATAGTAGTGCTCTACCTTTACCTTACCGACCGAGATTTGATGG